ACAATTTTCTTATGAGAAAGCGACTACAATTGTATTGGTCATGCATAGGCGGTGTCAGGGCACCTATGTTGGGAGGTAAAACATAACCCCCCTTTTTGGACGCCTGGATCCGCCTATTATAACAAAAACGTGTCAAAAGAGGATGCACAATAACTTTGTATATGTTATCACATGATACCTTTCATTCACTGTTCGTAAAACTGGTGCATACAGTTATAATACATCAGCATCGTGATCTTCGCCCAAATGACTCGCTTCACGAATAGGACCCCCCAATTCCCAGTGCTCTGAAGCCGCCCCTGGTAAAGTTATGAACTTGAAATTTTCAGGGAATGTGCCCAATTTAGTTTGAGGAAAAGTCAGAAAATTTCAGCATCGTAGCTTCAGCGGTTTCGGAGATATTCCCGAAAAACCTGAGGGGTGGATGAAAACACCCCCCCATGCCACTAATAGGGTTAACGGTCTGGGAAGTGAGTGCAGTTTCATAATATATGTTTTGCATAGCGCGGTAGACGCTGCATCTTTACGGCCTTTGTCGTTTTAGAGTGGGATTAAAACATACAATCAGAATTGTGCAACTGGGGTTCAAAAAGCGAAAGGACAGGAAAACGCACGAAAGGGGGAAAAGTTATTTTAAAAAGTTAAGTTATTAACTTATAAAAAGTTAAAAGTTAACTATCAACGAGCACGTTAAAATAATTCAGATCATTTTCCGATTTAGTCAGTACTGCAATCACTGTACTCTGTAAGGACATCAAAAGTTAATTTTTCTGTATTAAGACACTTTCTTATAAATGAACTCCAAACCACTAGAGATGTATTATTGGGAGGAGAGCATTCGATAGTTCTTTTAAAAGCCTTGCGTTTATGTGCCTTCGAATTTGGTCTAAGGCCGACGGCTTGGCCCAGAGGCTCCGGCTCCACCAGCGGGGGAGGGGGGTGGGGAGGTAAATAGGTGTTCGGACACCCCCCCCCCCTCCCCCAATAACTTTACTTCTGTAATGCAGCTAATGTATTAGGGTGTGCATTTTTGGGTCGGGTCCCCGCTATCCTGAAACCGTGGCGGAGTCCCTCGAAGGACAATGTAATACATACCGTTAAAATGGAATTGCTTGTGTGATGTTACTCTGCAATAACGTTTGATACAAATCATAAAGTTTGTATACTAAACTTTACCTACTGTGTATCTGTATGCCTGGCCAATTCAAATACATTAGTCGGAGAGGTATGGAGTTAACTGGCGTAAAATTGACCACAGTCAAAAAGGTTACACCAGTATACACTCAGTCAACATTTTGGTACGGCGTCTTTCAAAAATCGACAAGGAGCTTCAGTATAGAAAATTAATTTGTCGTTGGCATACGGTAAAATACATACCAAACTCGGCAAATGATAAATTTTCAAGGCCTCAGTCCTTTCTGATTTTTGAACTCGGCCTGCGGCTTCACTCAAAATTCCAGCAAGGACCTCGGTCTTGAAAATTTATTTACACCGGCCTCGTTCAGTATGATATTTAACCAATATCCAATGCAGTGTGTATTGTGCCCATCTATATACCCTGCATTGTACAGCAGTGACTCTACGAACAACCCTTCTTATCAACGAGTGGCGCCGAATGAATTGTCGTACCTGGCATTTCTAAAATCACTGAGCGCATCGTTCACCAGCAATTGAGTGGTTACTTTGAAAAACACCAGCTGTGGACCTCCTGTCAGCATGGCTACAGACGGTTCCACTCAACCGAAACCGCTTTGACCGCTTTGTCTGATTTTATACTGTCTGCCATGGATGCTTCTGAGGTAGCACTAGTAGTTCTCTGTGATCTCTCCAAAGGATTTGATGTGGTCAATCATGATTTGCTCTTGTCTAAACTTAAGTTGTATAATGTAGACACTCGCTGGTTTGAATCGTACCTCTCTGACCATACGCAACAAGTACAGTACCATGGAGCGGACGGCCAGCTTGTTCGCTCTGAGTCGCTGCCAGTCACCATGGGCGTGTACCAGGGTACCGCCCTCGGTCCGATACTTTTTTCGATCTTCTGCAATGACTTGGCTCTGCACACCCCTGGTGCTTTCATTGTGCAATACGCAGATGATGTTCAGATCGCAGTAAGAGGCAGAAAGAACCAGATTACTGACCTAATATCTACCATGGAAGGTTACCTTGCTGTCATGGCTGATTGGTTCAGCTCGTACGGCATGAAGGTCAACCAGGCGAAAACACAGCTGATTGTCCACGGCACTAAACGTAATCTGCAGAATGTCCAGCCTGTCCTGATCAAGTTTGGTTCGTCTGTCATCAGCGAAAGTCGTACGGTGAAAAACCTCGGACTTGTCATGGATCGCTATCTCACGTTCGAAGACCATATCACCCAGCTTGTAACTAAATGTACCGGCGTTCTCATATCACTGTCTCATTCCAAACATGTATTGCCTTCGTGGACTGTCGCCCATGTAGTGAACGCGCTGGTTGTGAGTTCTATTCGGTACTGCATCTCCGTCTATGGGACCTGTTCCAAAACCCAGCTACATCGTGTGCAAAAGCTGCTAAACTTTTGTGCCCGAGTCATCAGTGGGCGTCGTAAGTACGATCATATTTCCGATGTACTCCGTCAGCTTGGGTGGCTGCGTGCCGAGCAGCTTGTGAGCTACCACAGACTCTATCTAGTCAAAACCGCCTTAGGTACTCGTTTGCCTGCCGATATAGCTGCAATGTTTTCGTTCGTCGACACTTCCTATGAAACCCGTCAGAATGGCCTGCTTTACTGCCCTCGAGCTAAGACATGTTCTGGTGATAGACGACTGGTTCACTGCAGTGCTGTGTTCAATCGGCTGCCTTGTGATCTGAAATGCCTGAGGCGGCCTGCGTTCAAGCGGCGACTGAGGCAGCTGCTGTTGCGTGAGGCCGGGGCCGGTTAAAGCTGAGCTTGTGTGCTTGTGTTGTGTTATGTCGTATGGTCAGCACCGTCTCTTTTACCCGTTCTTTTACCCGCCCTTTTCATCTGTTTTTATTCGTATTGACGCAGTGTGACTCGGGTGCGGAAGAGCCATTGTATGGTGGATGTACCTATGAATACATTGATTGATCATTGGTTGAATTGTAACTAGGTCTTACCTGTGTAGGGGAGAGTGGGGCACATTCGTGCATGGGGCACATTCGTTTTCAGCAGTTTATGGGAACACGAGTGACTGCACGAGCTCAAGGTAAATTATGGAAATATGTCTATCATTGCCGCCCTTCGTTCACCGTAGAAGACAACACTGTACCTGCTGTCATGCTTGATAAAAACGCAAATTTGTAACATTCGTGAGCTTTCCAAACTTTTCTCATATCATCCATTTTCGTGATCCTGACTCGGAAATGTGGTTCAGCTTTTCAAAATTGGGGGTGAAGAAGCTCACTCTATTCACGGAACTGCTGCAAACTTGTTTGTTGAAAAAGTGTCATTTTTTCAAAAAGAAATTTTGAAATATATTACTAATAACGTTGTGGGGCAGGTTCGTGTACGCACTGCCTGGGGGCACATTCGTGCATATTTTTTTTTAGTTTTTGCGATTTATGACTTTATCTGTAGTAGGTTTCTCTAATGACGTTCGCCTGACTCAGTCTCGACTGCTTGCGACGTCGTGACGAGCAATTCACGCGAACTTGGCGAGGCCACGGAGGCCGGCAGTTGGCACATTCTTGTTGGCCAACCCATTCTTTCTACATATGTTGTGCAATGCATTCTTGTCGAAAGGAATCAAGTGAAATGACCCCCTGCCAATTTCCTTTGGTAAATTTCTGGTAATGCCCGGTAATTTCTCGAACTTTGCAGGGTGAACGGAAGTGCCCCACCTCTTGAACGAATGTGCCCCATAGGTGGGGCAGTTTCGTGCAAATGTTCAGAGTTATTAAAAGTCATTTTTTCTAATGGAAGCAATAATTTTAGAGGATAACTTTTAAAGAGGAAAACTATCTGCAATAGTTCCTTTCCATACTACAATCAACAATTTTGCCATTGCACTAACCAAAGAACAGATATATGGGTTTATCCATTTTTTGCACGAATGTGCCCCACTCTCCCCTACTTACATGGTAAACTGATGATTTTGCAAGCTAAGGTCATGACCTGAACAGAAAAGGTCACTTTTCTGTTCAGGTCACAATGGTCCATTCATATTGTTACGCGGAACATGCCCATGTATTTTCATTGTTTCACTCATCTTTCATGCCTCGATTATAAAAACTGCATTTGTTTTGTTTTAAGTTGTTTATGGTAGTGAGCTGATAAGTCTTGCCTAATCCTCGTCTCAGATATACATAAAAATCATAGTAACCGAATCGCTAGGCACTCCACTGGTACAATTGCCTACGGAACAAAGTACCGGGGCTTGATCCACCCTTTGCCCTTTGGGCTCAGTCCATGGCAGCAGTTAGCACAGACAGCAGCCGCCTGGGACCGGTAGACTGTGCCGCTTGACGTAAGTGCTTGGCGGCACAGCCTATCCACGCCGTAAGACACCGGCCCTGGTCGACATGGATATGGAATGCTGTGCAGACCAGTCGTAAGTAACGTCAACGCAGTGCAGACCCCGATGACTTGAGTCCTGTTTCGCGACACGCCGCTGCCCACTGCTATCAGATATTGGTGCTTTGATTCCATCGAAAAGTAAACAAAATTACAAATTTGCTTTTGCTTCCATAGAAAGCGAACGCCAACGCCTGGTGGCATCGTGCAGCGCTGTGCAGCGGTGCGCCGTGAAGCAGGCCCAGCGCTGCCCGGCGCGGTGGCCCTGTTCGGTTTGGCGGCTGGCGCAGGCCGGGGAGTAATATTGGGCGTGAGCACCAAGCGTGAACCAGTGCAGCAACGGGTGGGCGAATGTGGTCGCCTCTCGGTTGGCACCGATGTCCGATCGTGTGGCCCAACAAATGCGCTCGAGCCGATGAGTTTTTGTTGCGATTTGAATATTTCTTGTGATATATGAAAAGAGTCCGTCTTACACACATACAAAGCCTGTTTGCTGAACAATCATGCTATATTTCATAATTCACACCAATAAGTTCAAACCACAGCAATGCATAGCAATGCCCAACGGACTGGGTCCACTGTACACCGAGATCATATGAACGGTCTGGCAGCTAGTGACAAAGGCAGCTGATGAGACGTCCCGACCCAGGCACTGGCTGACGCCCGTGACGAGATCGTGAACATGCCGCGGTTCCTACAGGAGTGGTGACGCTCCGGGGACCGCCGGCTGGCCGTCCAGGCCGTAGTACTCGTATTTGCCGCCGGAGGAGGCGTCTTGAACAGCGAGCGGTGCCGAGCGGCGCTTCATGAAGCGCGAGACCATGGACGGGTTTACGCAGTCGGGGCCCTCGTTTCCGGCCAGACAGGCGTCCGCACAGGCGGTGCCCTGGAAGAACCGGCCGTACATGCTCTTGCACTGGCCGCAGTTTCTGCGGAGAGAATTAAAGGAAAACGATATCAGTTGTTGACACGCTCAATTAAGAACTTCCTTGGATTGTTATTTATATGCGGAGACAGCTGGGAATATCGTTGCTGAGTACACTACTAATGTAATTAAATGCGTTTAACCTTGCTTTTGTCAGACGCTATCTAACATCAAAGAACTGAGAAAATCAGATGCCAGTAGAAGCAAGATCTTCGAGCCTCATCGTCCAAATTCATGCAGCAGTTATTTAATTGTTCGAGTCTCGCATGAAATCATTTCAGGCCACCCAGATCCAAACATGTCTTACCTCACGCAGGAGCCTATATCGGCGTGGGTCGGTCGGGTCATCAGGAGACAGACGAGAACGGAGCAGAGCAGCACGAGGGTGGACGACTGTGGACAGAGGTGGACAGCACGGTCAGACGAGAGTGGACGACTGTGGACGGAGGTGGACGGCGCGGTCAGACGAGAGTGGAACACAGTGTAATAGAGTGGACGACTGTGGACGGAGGTGGACGGGGTAAAACGGTCACAACAAAGCGCCCGACCGAACTATAGAAGAGCTCCACAGCCCATAGTTTTCAGAAAATCATTTAAACGTTTAGCATGAGTTTTCGCTATAGGATTTAGTCTTTACGCCTAACTTTTGGGTACCAGAAAAATCACTTAGGAACAATTCACAAGGAAAAAAAATAAAGAACACATCATCATAGGCATAAGAATTGTCCTTTTCGCTAAGTACCAGATTCTGGGTAAAACGGCAAACGTGTTGCGGGTAGGTATACCTGGCTCATGTTGATGTGTATCTGAGCTCGGTGGTGGAGCAGCCCAGCCTCAGCGGAGGTGACGGACACGGATGAGGTGCACGGCGCTCACTGGGCCGCTCTCAGCTGCTGTGCACGTGTCGACAGCGACGGAGCACACCTTATATGGAACGTCGGCGGCGACGCCGCGCAGACGCCTTGTCTTTGGGAGAAGTTTTCCCGCCCATGGCTCAATGAGAGCGCAGTGGCGGCGGAATAGGGGGTGCAGGGGGTGCAGCTGCACCCCCATCGAAAAACATGGGGGTGCAAACATATCTTTTTGCACCCCCAAAATCCGTACAAGGGGCCCATCGCACCATCCAATGCAATTTTCTCCTGAAAACCAGTGATCGGGAAACGAACACTGATCTGGAATCATCCGGGATGTCCAATTATGATCAGGAGCGCCCAATGCTAGTCTTTGGGGCCCCCACACCGGCTAGAAGTGTCCCGAGAGCGTTTGGTGCTCCACGCGGCATCTGAGGGCCCCCACGACGGCCTCAGAGGGCCCATTTATGACGATCTCTGAGGGATCCCACCTGAGGACTTTGTCCCCTGGGGCCCTACAACGGTCACTAAGGGCCCTCATGACGACCGCTGAGGGTCCCACAGGACTCCAGGGGCCCACTGGCCTCTGAGGGCCTCTACGACGGTCTCTGAGAGCCCTCGTGACGGCCCTAGACCCAACTCAAGTCTGAGAGCCCATTTGGCTTCAGACGGCCCAGCGACGGCCTCTGAGGGCCCCAACACAACCAGGCTGCAGGAGCTATGCTGGCATCTGAGGGCTCTGCAACGGTCTATTGAGGACCCTAACAAAGATGGCCTCTAGCGGTCTTACCAAGGCCTCTGAGAGCCCTGCAAAGGTATCTGAGGGCCCATGAAGACCCTCAATATGGCCAAGGACCCTCATGACGACCTCTGATGACCCTCTCGAAGGCTTCTAAGGGCCCTCACAACAACTTCTGAGGACCCCAGGACGGTCCCTGACGGGCTGAGGGCCCTGACGACGACCTCTCTGGGCCCTCACGATGGTCTCTAAGACCCAACGCAAGCTCCAAAGGCCCACACTAGCGTCTAAGGGCCCCACGACGGCCTCTTAGGGCCTCGACGCAGGCAGGCTCCAGGGGCCGTGCTGACCTCTGAGGGCCCTCTTGACGGCTTCGAGGGCCTAACGAAGGCTTCAAGGGCCAGCGCTGGCCTCTGAAGAACCCTACGACGGCGTCGGAGGGTCTCAACTCAACGCAGGCAGGTGCCAGGAGACATGCTGGGCTCTGAAGGTCCCGCAGAGTTCAGATTCAGAGGATCCAACGACCTTTGTGGACCTTACGAAATACGAAGGTCTCCGAGAGCTCACGCAGGCTCCTGGAATTCCACACAGATTTTCAAGCCCCATGTCGGCTTGTCGAGGCACTTTATCTGCTCTTGGTGCCCCGTCGCCGGCCTCTGAGAGTCTCAATGTCGGAACTTATGGGGCCATGGGCCCTACACCGGCTTTTATGGCCCTTACATCGACTCTTGGGACTCATGAACCATGAAATGTGGGTCTAAGCAGCTTCTAAGAATCCCCATGCTGGTTCTAGTAGCCGCCAGCCGAAGCGAGCTCCTGGGACCCCATGCATACCCCAGGGGTCTACCTGCCTCTAAGACCCCACACATACTTTTGGGGCTCAAACGCTTGCCCCTGAAGACCCCACTGAGACCCCTTTCCTCTATTCAGTCTTCCATACCGGCTCTTTAGGCTAAACATCGGCTCCTGTGGCCTCCATCCCGGCTTTGGAGGGCCTCCATACAAGCTTTTTGGGGGTCCGATGCCGGTTTCTGAGAGCCCTTAAAGACTTTCGAGCCTATACTGCCTTCTGAAACCTTTCAGCAACTTTCAAGGGACCGACCCTGATCGGAGGGCTTATTCAGTCTGGGGAGTCATGTAGATCTCTGGAGGAGTCTCTATGTGGTCGGTTTCCAAGGGGCTTCTAAACACGGTCTTCTTGGAACGGTCTCGTAGGGCCCTCAATGGTCCACTGCGGATCCAGAAAAGTGGTTTGAGACGCTGCGGGTGGTGGCTAGACTAAAAAATTAGCTGATACAAAACTAGCTGCATTTGCTTCTTTATGCTTTCATTATTTGAGACGGGTAGGTACACTGCAATTTCAAACCTTTTACAGAACTTGTGTGTATGGGCCATGGGGATAGTTTTCCAAAATCTTCGTTTTTCATAAGTCAATAATAATCACTAAAAAAAAACTGAAGGGGCCCAAAACTTCCAGAGGGGCCCCTTGAGAAAACTTTGCACCCCCATCCAAAATTACCTTCCGCCGCCACTGTGAGAGCGAACATCGTAGGTATGTGGAGAATGGAGATCATGTATTGCACAAACGATATTTGCCAACGCAAAGATATGAGATTGATAAAAAAAAATCAGCAATGAGTGAGCATGCTTTTTGTCAGGTGAAGGGATTACAATCTTGGGTGGCGATAGCATTTCATTCCGATCTCGATCGAGAAATGCCGACAATGCCGGTCATGAAAAATATCGGCAAAATCGCATGCAAAACCTATACCTGGGTCGCATGATCGTTGTGAGACTACGCATGCTTATTAACCCTCGCATGTGTGCGGCGTTTGCCAGCTTCTAATGTGTAGGGGGGGGGGGGGGGGTCGGTTGGACCCCCGCTTGCCGTTTGGCCCCTGATTGAGCTAGAGCTTCGCGGAAAAAACGAGCGTGTTGCCCGTGACGAGAGGAAGCCGATGATACCCAATTTTAAGGTCCTAGGTCATTGGTTGACCTTCCAGGTCAGGTCAATGACCCAAAGTCGGGAAAATCGGGACCTGTTAGAAAGTCGTAAAGTGTGGCTGCTAAGGGGGTTTTCGGGGTGCTGATCACGAATATCGTGTTAGTTATGATCACAGATGATGTCTTCAAGCATTTAAACCAGGTCGGGTCAGGTCAGGTCAGGTCAGCCAGTAGGCGTCGTGACGGGTATTCGTAGTACGTGTCAACCGCATCTGACAGCTTCGTAACATGTTACGAAGGCACCAAAACTACTTCGTAAATGTTCAAATGGTTGCTAAATTCGAATTCAGCTAAAAAAATAGCCTAGAAACATGTACAGCTCGAAAAAGTGAACCGAGGTCACCCGAGGTCACCAAAGGTCAATGACCTGACCTGACCTTCAGATGACCTTGACACCCACCCTTATGCATGGAAGCAACATCAAATCACATGTTTGAACGTTTGAAACCACGAAAAGCTTGCAAACGCGCGGCTAATGCGAGCCGACATACGCAGAAACGCGATTCCGGCCAAACATGGTCTCGGAAAAGAGGTCACAGGTCAAAGGTCATTTGGGTCAGGGTCATGAAATTTTTAGAGTAGGTGTAAAATTGATCAATGTGAGGGTACTGAAAGTTTCGTCGCGATCGGCCGCTTTTTACGCGAGTTATTCGCGAAAAACCATGGGGGGGGGTCCATCCGACCCCCCCTACACATGCGAGGGTTAACTATATAGTAAGCACATATAAGCACATAGTAAGCACCGCAGTCGCCATACATGCACTCATATGTCACATATTCACAACTTAACTCGGAACTCCTTTTCAACAATAATGTCTCATTTTGCAACCTGCCAACCGGCCTATAATGCGACCAAGGTTAAGGGTTACTCGTTTTGAATTATCTGAGTTGAAAATAGTTGCAAAACACATAGATTAACGACGTCATCATGAACGAACTTATACTTTTGTATGCCAACTTTACAGAATAAGTAATTAGGAACTTTTCCTGCACAGTATCTTGTAACATTTTCTTACATAAGAGAGCGTTACTTCAGAATTATTCTGGTACTAATTATTCTTCTCTTTATTTTTGCTCCCAGTAAGTGTTGGCAAAGCACCCTGGGACCGCACTATCAAGCCCATTAACCCACGAGCCGCTGGAGGGGGGGGGGGAGGGGGCGTAAAGTTGCCCCCCTTTACGTTTTGTAGAATATCTCCGAAACCTGATAAGGTACGAACGTGAAACTTGGCATAGCTTCAAATGAATACCTAGCCCCTAGCCAATGTTTGAGAAAAGTTTGGTGGTTGTAGCGCGATGACGTCAAAGTGTCGTCATAAAATTTTGTCGTTTTCCGATATGGACCATTTCTGATGTCGCTGAGCATGAAACAACTGTAAATGAACTAGACAGCACCTGCTGTCATCCTAAAACATCTAAGTACACTTCCAACTAGTTCCTGACCAATAATCGGTCCTTTATATTCGGTATCATATATCGGATATATCGTGAGGAAACCAAGAGTCGCAAATCTATACTTTGAATTCTGACGTCACTGTGACGTCATTTCACATGGGATCGACACCAAATTTGGACACAACCTCGGCTAGGTATTCAGGAGAAATTGTTCAAAGTTTCGCTTCTCTATCTCTTCGCGTTGCGACGATATCGTTGCAGAAGTAAAGGGGGCAAATAGGTATATGCCCCCCCCCCCCCCCCCCAGCGGCCGGCGGGTGGCGCGGAGACCCAGCGGCCGCCGTGTTAACTTAATTTAACATAATATACACTTATACAGGCAATCCACTATTTAGGTAATG